TGCAAGTGGGCATTAGCACTGGGCATGTTTTGTATCTATATTTCAATTTGTTGTGTGACCCTGTGCTATAGATGAGTACTTTCCTGACATTTTTGTTTGAATTGGGTGCTTGTTGCTGGTTAGATTTTTGGGAAATGTTTCACATGTTTAAAGGGACCCTCCCACCTTCAAAGAAGTTAATGAATTGGCATGAAAGTGATGTCGCTCGGTTCAGAAAGAGCAAAAACGAATATCTACCAAATTTCATCGAAAAATATTCACCGGTTTTCAAGATATTAGACTTTTACTTTTGTTTACTTTTTGGGATCTCCGCTGTTCCTAGCGACTTTATTTGAAAGTGCGGCATTTGTTGCGCGCAAAGCAGCATATAGGTACCACCGCGTGCTACAAATCGTTTTAGTCAAATATTTAACGGACGTTCGAAAGCCTGATGACGTCATCAGATTCCCGTAATGGTTAAGAGATAGGGACCACGCTGGTCCCACCCTGCAAGTAAAGGGAAGAAATTTCTTGAACACCATAAAGCTGCGGGGGTTGCGACCAGGATAAATGGTGGTTTCTGAGCCTGGCCGCAAACTTGGCTATCTCAACTCAAAACTAATGTTAAGGTGGGAGGGTCCCTTTAAGGTCAAGGTGGTACCTACCTACTGTTGGTGGTATTAGTAGAGCAGACGCCACATGAAGGTTTTCCAACCAAGGAGAGGCACCATACCCAAACCCACAGGTGTTTTTTCTAGGAAAACCTAAATCCGCGCCCGGCTGGGGGTCCTGGATTTCCACGCCCTGCTGGGGGGCCAGTCTGCAAAACATGGCAGGGAGCTCAACAAGATTTTTGGGGCAGACAAAATCCTGCCCCGAATCAGAATGCTGAGTCCAGGGGCAGCCCAATTCCTGCCCCTAATGATGCAAATAATGTAACGATATAATGATGTAGGAAGCAGTGAGAAGCTGAGAAAATCACTTCTGTGTCAATTTTTTAACTTCTGCACCAGATTTTCCTGTTTCTGCCCCAATCTTCCTGAAATCTGCCCCTATTTCTGCCCCAACCTGTGGTGTCTGCCCCGACGAGATCTCGTCGAAGCCTGCCACGTTTTGCAGACAGGCTGGGGGGGGGGGTGTGTTTGAACACCCCCCCTTCTAACTCGGCTCCTGGGCCACGTAGCGATACACGGAAGGCGGCGTTCGAAAGAGCGTCAAAAATAATGAGGAAATCACTTCGGTCAATTTTTTGGTCAGGTCAAAGGTCAGGTCACCAGAGGTCATTGAAGGCAAAGTTTCGCCCATTTTCAGGTCGAATGTCGACAATTTCCAAGAAGCCAACGCATAACTCGGGAACCAATAGAGCTACAGCGCCGCGGAAAAGCGCATTCGATAGCCCTATTAACGCCCTTTCTGGGTAATTGTCTCAGATTTGACCTAACGTCAACGGTTTTGCCTGCAGGGGGCAAAAACTGCAAAAATAGCCGATTTTTTTGGAAACAGTTTTTCTGCAATAATTTTTGACCCAAGCCTTGTACGAGCTTACTTTTACCGGCATCGTGTTCCTCTCGTCAAGACGCATCGAATGAACTATAACTTGACCTTGAAAGGTCAACTTGAAAATTTGACCTCAGGTCAAGGTCATGACCTGACCGGAAAGGGTCATGTTGCATATCAGTCGATCCGTATCGTCGAGCTGAACACATCTAAGGCGTTTTCATCGCTCTAGCATGCCTCTATCAAAAGTTATTTGCGAAAAACTGTTAGATACTATTCGTGACCTAAGATGACCTCAGGGCATAAACAGGGGTCACGGACACCATTTTCATGTTCAGTGTGTCTACAGGGTGGAAAGTAATTACGCGAACATGTATTTTCTTACAATTTCGCCCGTCAGTGGAGATTTTGTATGAGCGCGGGCTGTTATGGAACATGACTGGTCGTGTTTGTTGTCGCCTCATCTAACAAAAGTGACCTTACTTTGAAAAATGACTTGAAAGGTCTACAACACCTCTCGGCTTCGAGTGGTGCTGACGCCATACGCTGCTCAAGACCAAAATGGGCAAAGAGCTCAATTTGAAGTTGCCAGGGAAAGCGTTTGTGATTATTTTGGCTGGATTGGTGCGGAAGGGACTCGGAACGGTCTCGGCACCAGCATTACTCAATTACACCTTTGGTTGAAGCATAATAAAACTTAAGAGGACTTAAAAAGCAAAGCCGTTGGCGGCAGTAAAACCTCGGCGAATTCAGGCGCCGAATGGGTGGTCACCATTTCCGCGACCAAACGACAACAGTCGACCCGAAAACAGGCGAAATGGTTTACTTTGGCCGGGTACCCGATCTAAGATATCACGATTCATGCATAAATCCGTGAAAATTCGAAAATCAAGCCGTACAAACAATCGAGATGGCCAAAATTCATGAATTAACAGCAGGATTGTCAATTTAAGTTTTCTAAAGACCGCCAAACCTGAACAGAGGAGGACAGGCAGCTGGCTTTGTGGTTGGGTGAGACATCTTCGAAGCTATTTCATCCGTCAAACCTGCAGAACAACGCGTTGGGGGCTGCTGATGCGTCCGACGTCCCGCCCGTCCCAACCTTCAAACATCCGGCAAAGGAACACACATCAGCGTGTTATGAGCGCCCGGATGGTGTCAGAATTGCATGTAGTGACCAACAAGGCCACCAAAAATAAAGTATACAACTAGTGGAACATCCTTCCAGACGAGTCTCTTTATCTAATCCATCAATGCACCAAAAGGGGCAAAATGATTGAGCGCACTTTTGTGACCGACGCAAAGAAACTCTTCTTCATGATTGATAAAGTCCTTCCTCTCACGGCCAAAAAGACGCAAGACTGGTGCTTTGAGAACCCGTTCTTCTTCTGGGCATATAATGGTCAATCTGGGAATAGCCCAGACCTCAATTTGATCAAAAATATCCAGGCGACTTTTCAGGAGAGCGTTTAAGAGCTGCTAGTAGCCACCAACATCGATTGCCTCACCAGACAGCTCCAGGAGGCGTGGACTAAGCTTTGGCCAACAGTGCTTGACATGCTCATGTCAATTATGCCTGAACGCCTTTGTCAGTGTATCGCACATAAATAGGAATATATGAAAAGATGAAATTTTCATGTTACCGCCGCTTTTTCCATTGTTATAAGACGAAAAAGTATGTTCGCGTAATTACTTTCCACCCTGTAAACCACTTGTATTTCAGTGTTTGGGAGTGTTTATAATGTCTTTCGTCCAAAAGAGGCGCATTTCAATTTTCTCCCATTGACTTATAATGGGGAGGTCGCAAAATTGACATGACCTTAGGTCATCGATATCAAAATTCTGATATATACATTTTATACATGCTATTGCTCTTAGCAATCGCTGAAAGTTTCAAAGCGATCGGTCACTCGGTGTAGCTATGACAGACATTGAAACTTTTTATGAGGTGAGGTCACTTCAAGTGACCTGGTGACCTGACCTTGAATGACCTTGGTCTGAAATTTTCACAACATGTGTAGAATTGATGTATGATAAGGTGTACCAAAAACGGCGGCGCTCCGCGCCGCCGTTTTTGAGATATTTGCGAAAAACCACAAGGGGGGTGTTCAAACACCCCCCCAGCAGGGCGCGGGTTAACAAACCTAACCTGACCTGACCTAACCTACAAAGTACAACCTTCAAACCTGCAACCTAAAAACCTACAATCTTCAAACCTACAAACCTGCCCTACAACCTGCAAACCTACAGCGCCTCTCGTCGGTTGGAAAACCTTCGTGTGATGTCTGCTCTACTAATGCCCTACTAGTTAGTTTGGGCAGGAGGCTAATTTAAGCATTGCTTTTTATTGTTCATCACGAATCTTCTGCTATCTTTGTCCATTTGAATGTTTGTGTAGAATTTCAGCATTGGATCAAAGTAAGGCTGCAACATGCTAGTTTAGGTAGGTTTAGCTCAGACCAGGTCAGGTTGGGTCAGGCTATGTTTCTGATTTATACTGGCTGAAAGCAGCCATAAAATGATTTGTGCTGATGGAAATTTGCTAGGCAATAATATGGGATTTTTGTTTTATTAACAGACTAGTGTTGCTTTATCACTTTGTCTGCGAGCCAATTTATCTCAATTAACTGAAATAAAACTGCCAATTTTGCATGCATCTGGATGAAAATCACAGTAGGTGCTCAACTGTGCTGGTAGAAACCAACAGTCTGACATGTCAATGTTGATGTCTCAATTCTCATGTCACTGACATGTGTGCAGTCTGACTGCTGACATGTACATAAATAAGCTTTAAACCTTCTGCACTTGATAAGCTTATTGTTCTAGTAACTGGCTGACAGCTTTCCATGACACCAACTTTCAGAAAAAAGTCAATTGCAGCATATTCCTTACTCAGACTCCAAAGTAGGTGGGTACAGTAGTGTCAACAAAATCTCATTGCTGGGTCACTTTGACTTTCTGGGGCAGATTTTCCAAGGCGGTTTGAACATCTTTATAGGGTAAGCTCTGTCCTGAATTTTGTAGCAACTGGTGTAACGACTTGACTACCCACCATATGAATTGATACCAATGCTGAGTTAAGACTTCTTTCTTGGCTCTGAGTCTCATCAATGCTAGTAAGACAATGTTTTTGCTTATTTCACTCAAGTGAGGATTGAGTATAACTTACTTATATAAGAGTGATAACTTACTGATAGCCTCAATGAGAGTGGTGTACAGGATGCACATTGGGCCAGGCTGCAGCAAGCAAATCACTTTGTTCATTGTTTGCTAGTTGCTTACCATGGGCTGGTGTGTAGTTGTTTTCCAAGCTAGTGAGTTTTTACTAGCCCTTCTACCATACTTTGCTCCATGTCTACATTTTATGTATATTTCCTGTACCTATGCACATTAGGAGAAAAAACATTTAACTATATTATAAAAGAGAAGCATTTTAAAAACAATTGTCATTAACAATAATAGGGTTAGTAATGTGCACTTGTCTGTTTAGAATAGATATATGTGTTTAACCGATTTGTTTGTTTCAGTTCCCCTGTTAATGGAGAAGTGAAGGAGTTCACCCTGCTGTCACACATCTGGCAAGATGGCTGAATATCTTGCCTCCATTTTTGGAACAGAAAAAGACAAGTAAGCATGAGCTTCAGTATGAATGATGGCAAGAGCTTATTGTTGGCTTGGTTTGTCTGTGAAGTCCCAATGGTGATAGGGTAGTCATCAGAGAATTCTTTGCTTTGTTTGGTGTATCACTGTCTAATTTATGGGAATGCAAAACAAAATATTGATTGTCACCAAACATGAGATAAATTTTATGAAAGGAATTCTACACTGAAGCTATTAACTATTTATACCTACTGATTTTACTAAGCTTCTTGCATTCTTTTGTGGCGCTGTAATTATCCTAGTCCTGGATCATGGCAGGTGTCTTTGCCTTTGGGCAAAATGTGATCATTCAACTGCCCGATGCCTATGGTATGGTGGAGTAATTTGAAGCTGCATTTAAAGCAACAGCTACATGGTAAACATTGACTTTTAGGTAAGTCATGGTACCTTGTAACCTTTTAGCTAATCATTTATTTGTGAGGTTGGATGGACAAGAACATGCATGTTTATTGCTCATGTAAATGAATTGACCTTGAAATGTATTTTTGATCATATCTTGTATGAAGCTCATTCATTGTAGTATGTTAAGTACCTAGGTGTTTAAGATATTCTTGTGGGCCTACTGAATTGATAAGTATATGGCTTTTGTGCCAGAAGGAGCAATAATTTTTTTTTTTTTGCCTTCTTGATCATGCTACTTGATTGAACCATCCACTAAGATGGCTTTTCAGTCATTCTTGTTCAGCGAGTAGTGCTATACTCTGTAACGGATGCAAGCTGCTGGAGGGAGCGCCCTCACCAACCCCTCTCACCGTGCTGCTCCCTTCCACCAGGGTCAACTGCTCGTTCTACTTCAAGATCGGCGCGTGCCGTCATGGCGAGCGCTGCTCCCGGCTGCACAACAAGCCCACCTTCAGTCAGACGATCGTGCTGCAGAACCTGTACGTGAACCCGCAGAACTCTGCCAAGTCGGCCGACGGCAGCCACCTGGCCAACGTCTCCGACGAGGAGATGCAGGAGCACTTTGACAACTTCTTTGAGGACGTGTTCGTCGAGTGCGAGACCAAGGTGCGTTCGTCCGACGGCTCACCACGTCCCTGCGGTCAGGAACTGGGATTTCAGTGGCTGCTTGTTAGGCTGCTTGTTCAGTGGCTGCTTGTTTTTTTGTAGTTTTATTTATTTTCTTAGCTAGTGTACAGTAGGTCAGTAGGTCAAAATAAGTCCCCGCCGTATGCGGGTCACCAGTGGGCAGTTACCGCCTGAGCGCTACTCGGGCGCCACCTGCCCGCATACGGAGAGGACTTATTTTGTAGACCTACTGTACCAGTCGTGTACATTGCCTTGTAGTTCGTCATTGTAGCCAATTGCATCGATTGTTTCCTGCGTGCGCCATTCGGTGGTTGAACAATCGAGCCATTCCTATCATTATCCATGCGTCTGTTTGCCACCTCCTGTAGCGCTCGTCTCACTTCATCATTCTCCTCCCTGCACCAGTTCGGCGAGATCGAGGAGATGAACGTCTGTGACAACCTGGGCGACCACCTGGTGGGCAACGTGTACGTCAAGTTCCGCCGCGAGGAGGACGCCGACAAGGCGGTGCAGGAGCTCAACAATCGCTGGTTCGGCGGACAGCCGGTGCACGCCGAGCTCAGTCCCGTCACAGACTTCCGCGAGGCCTGCTGTCGGCAGTACGAAGTCGGGTGAGTCATGATTGAGTGTGTCGCCCGCGGCGTGTAGCCTAAGCCTGTCTGATGTAGGATAGTTTACAGGGCTCAGTGTAAATGAGGTGTTCGTGTTGACCCAGCTTGTAGTGTTCTGGTTTTACGCGGATGGGATCGCTCTGGCCATACCGAACGTCAATTACCCGATCATGCCACATGATATTGAATTAAGTGCATGTTTACCATACTCTCTGATTGCATGACTCGTCTGTGGACGCGCTACTAAACCCCAATATTTACCTGACGTTCCGCCCCTGGTCATTACCCAGCAATTGGTGCCTTACCTACAAGGTGACAATGTTCTAAAGCTATCTGACTAAGTCTGCATCACCTACTAGACCCTGACACCTCACGTCATCTGTTTCAGCGAGTGTACGCGGTCGGGCTTCTGCAACTTCATGCACCTGAAGCCGATCTCGCGTGAGCTGCGGAAGGAGCTGTACGGCCGGCGCGGCCCGTCCTATGTGGGCGGCGGCCGGCGCCGGTCGCGCTCGCGGGACCGGGACGGCGGCCGCGGCTGGCGCGGGGGTCGCGGCGGCGGCGGTGGAGGGTTCGGCGGCGGTGGTGGTGGCCGGCGCCGCTCCCGTTCGCGGGACCGCGACCGGCGCCGCTCGCGCAGCCGCGACCGTTCGGGCCGCGCCGGCCGGTACTGAGTGGTGCTGCCGGGGTGCGGACCAGGGTCCGTTCGCTGTGCAGAGGCCAGTTTTACCAAAAAATACCAGCCGGCCGCCGAAATAAAATATCCAGCCGAAAAAATAGACGCCACACAGCCACGAGTTTCACCAACAAAAAATTCCAGCCGACTTATGACGGAAATTATTTGTCGCCGGTAGTCAGCTGATATTCTGTTACGATATCAAATTACGATATGTCAAGGAGGTTAATAAATCATTTAGAGCATGTTTTCAATCAAATTGAAGCGTGATTTCTAATGCAAATGCTATATACATTTCGAAATATTATTATCGTAAATCATTACATTATTTTCAAGAGTAATAACAACAAAGTAGAGCATTATAAACTTTCATATCTATATTAACATTCTGGTGCCCAGCAAAAGCCAATCAATACAAAACTACCAAATTGTAAACGTAGGTACGTCATTCATAAAGGTGACGTAAGGAAGCTTGCATTTAAGGCAAATTTAAGATGGATCTTTTTTCCTGTCAGCCTATTATATTAATTTTTACAATACCTTCAACTTGCTATGTACCTTTTTGTCTGTTTTTAGTCGCACCTTGTAGAAAATCATCGTGTAGACCGAGAACGCAATGTGTGGACCTCCACCTATGAGGTGAGGACTAGATGGGACCACTCCAGTGGCAGCGGAACACCTTCAATTAAGGGGGCACTGCCGACTTTTGGTCCCATTCTTTCCATGCAACGCCCATAGGGCTTATATTAAAATGTCAAAATCAAAGGGGGGCACGGTGCCCCGGTGCCCTACCCGTTCCGCCGCCTATGAGTCCCGCTCCCGACAGATCCGGGAGCCGCACCTCTTTCCTAGCTTTCAAAAGAGCGGCAAAGAAGCGGTCAACATTGCTCCCAGAGACGCCACCTGAAGCTGGACGGACGACGGACAGTTCCGCAGCCGAGCGATTGAAATGCGGTGCTACGAGGCGGCTTCGCGTGCACTGCATTAGCACCTTCTAGCGGGAGTAAGAGGGCTAACGAACTCGCCAAGGCCTATATAAAGCATTGTGCCAAGGCGAGTGTCTTACCTTAGGAAAATACCTACCCAGATTAACTGCTGCACCGCGGTCATTGCAGGGCTGAGGGTGGTCGCTCGCTCCGCTTCGGCGAGGTGGATGTCAGACTGCCCGGCTAGGTGGTTTTAGCCGACATGCAGGCCGCGTTTGCCGGGCCCGGTCGAGAAGAAGGAACGCCACACAGCAAAGAATACTCGCTCCGGGCCCGCTACACAGGTCCAGCTCGTAAGTCGTAACAAATTAACAATACCTGCGCTAGCGTCGTCGACCGTCGTTCGACTGCGCCCAGTACCGCTCAGTGGAGAGTCCTGCCGAACTCCTCCGCGTGTGCCGAGATCATTCGTTGCGCGCGGACACAATCGTCCGACGGAGACCGCTCTGCATTATGATCGGGTGGTCACCACCTTGGTCGCCGGCTTTCACACCCAGCCGAGCCGTCTGGCTACGCCCCAAATGATCGTCTAAGCCTTTCGATTGGTTTGTAACTCGGGTCTAATATCGAAATATTTGGGAGTTAGGACATGTTAAATCCGTGTTCATGAACAAATATACATTATGCAACTAAAACGCTTTACTTACTTTAACTTTTCTAGGCTAATGACAAGGCATACACATATTCATTGCAATATTTCTAAAATGTAAATAAATCATGAGCAATGGGCATAAAAACAACAGCGATCCACTAGAAGCTCGTAGCTCGTCCAGCAGCGCCAGCGTCTCCCGCACCCGGCCGCCCGCCTTGCCCGCCTGCACCATCAGCCGCTGGAAATGGCTGCGCTGCCGCTCCAACATTAGCTTGACCGCCTGGCCGGCCCGGCAGATGCGCGCCGTCCGACGCACGCAGTGTACATCTTCAACAGCGCCGGGATGTCGTACGACACGACCGCGTCCACGGCGTCCACGTCAATACCGCGCGCTAAAGCCTCGAGCACACCAGCGCGGCCATCTCACCTAGCGCGCGCCGCCGCCGGCACGCCGGCACTACCCCACAGAACTCAGTCACGCGCGCGCCCAGCACAGACAGCGGTAGCTCCAGCTGGTGCGCCACCTCGTTCCAGTTGACCAACACGAGCGAGCGTCGCCAGTCGGGCTGTCGGAGCAAATGGTGCATCACCAGCGGCTTCAGCGGCTGCGGCGCCACCACGTTGAACGACTCGCTCAGCTCGGCCGGCGTGGTGAACCTGCCGACGAACTGACCGGGCAGTGCGACGGCGGCGGCCGCCGTGCCGGCCGCCAGCAGTCGCGGCTGGAACAGCGACATTCGCTCCAGCTTCTCCGGCCTCCGGGTTCTGTGACAGGGTGGCCAAGAACGGCAGCTTCTGCAGCGGCAGGTGAGGCGCGCAGACGGCGGCGGCCGTCAGCCGGCCGGCGATGCAGGGCGGCGGGCCGTGGCCGCCGCCACCCGCTCCACCGCTTTCAGCCAGCCCGTCTCGGCCATCTCGATCACCCGGTCGGCTTCGTCGATCACCAGGTAGCGCAGGTGCGCTAGCGAGAAGCTCTCGGAGCTGGTTATGTGATCCATCAGCCAGCCGGGAGTGCTCACCACGATCAGCCAGGGAGACCGGGCCGCGCGGCCCCACCGCCACCAGTTGGCGCCCCCCTCGTGCCACTGTGTCTCCACCAAGCAGCCGGACGCAGAGCGGCGTGTCGGCGTCGTACTGGCGGAACACGGCGGGCACCTGAGCGGGCAGCGCCTGTGTGGGTAGCACAGCTAGCGCGCGCACCCGGCGGCCGGCGCCGCGCCTGCACTAGCGGCAGCACAAACGCCAGCGTCGTACCGCGGCCGGCCGGCGCCGAGACGCAGAGGTCGGCCGGTGGCAGCGGCGACTCTGTGGCCGCCAGCAGCTCGGGCAGCACGGTCATCTGCACCAGGAACACCTGTTCGATGCCCTCGGCGGCCAGCCGGGCGCGCAGCCGGCAGATTGGCCGGCGCCGGCCGCCGGTCGCCAATCGGCTGCGGGTGCGCCAGCCAGTCGGGCAGCGCACGCGGTGCACGGCCTGTCGGCTCGAGCGCTCCACCTCGTCCAGAACGGCGAAGTTGTCAGCGGCGGCGTCTCCGTCCGACTCGGAGGTGTCCTCACTGTCGTTATTGGCGACGGCGGCTGCCGCTGTGCGCTCAGTCAGGTCGGCCATCACAGCAACACTCGCCGATGATTGGCGTCATCGAAACCGTCGGACGACAGTGGATTCACCACCGTTTTTGCAGCAGAGACTGGAAAAACCTCAGCTATAAACAAGGAAAAACCTCACAACATGCCACAGCCTGCAATTGTGCATATTGTCATTATACTTTTCACATGACAGAAAATATTGGCTGCTTTATTCTAGGAACTGGCTTGAAAAACATAAGATAAAATCAAGCTCAGTGAATTATTATTGTATTTCAACATGAGACTGGTAAAAAATCTTTGTCACTGTCAACATGACCAGTGTAACGGACGGGCTGCATGAACATTTCGGCGCATGATCTGAAAACTCTGTGTGCAGAAATTTCAGCGCTGAGGTGAACAAATAACATTTCGGCCGCAATTTGCCTGGTGCCACAATTTTGCAAAACTAACTCACAACACTTACAGCCAGTTTTGATCCCTGCATGACTCATGGATGCAAGATACACATGCATTCAATATCAGCACAGTGCACACACAACAGTTATAGATTCATTTACATTTTACAACATTACTATTATTTTCTTTTCCTTCAATATTGGCAGCATGACTTGCTGAGTTCAGTGGCACAATCTTATGACAGCAAGTTTGTTCGAGTTCGCAACCATACAAACTTTGCAAGTTTTGCTTCAAAAACAAGCCTTTATATATTTCTTTCATGCTATTCAATTTCTTTTTAAAAAATTATTGTCATTTATCTTGAAAATCTTGCCAATTCGGTCTTAGCAATGTCAATGCACCTTCCCTATTCCGCACAGCTCAAGCAAGTTCCACCCAAAAGTAGTAGTGGTATCAGTAGCTGGCGCCTTGCCATGTCAAATGTAGCTGAATATGTGAAAACAGTGACATATTTATTTAAATTCTTGAGTCCAATGAGCCTACCCTCTCTGCCTCTCCTTCCAGCATTTCTTCAAGCACCTTCAATTTTCGAAAATGACCTTCCATCATTATTTTCCACTTCCGTCCGAGCAATGAACTTGTAAGCTGACCACTAGTTAATGCTCTATCATCTTGCTGTTGGGTGCTTGTAGCAAAAAGATAATATTAAACGAAAAAACTAACACCACAACACCAAACACCCGTCTTGTTGGTTTCTTTTGGTCCTGCCTGGTGACAAAGGCTCTTTCTTTACGCAATATCATCAGTATTCCACTTCTAATCTTGAAGCCCAGATGCTTTACAAATTGGCCATGAATGATACTAAATTATTATATCAACTGAGAAGCGCAAATCACGATAGTTCGTAACAAATGAGGCCAGTTATTCCAACACGACATCAAAAAAATAGACGGGGTCGCCTGTCTATTTTTTTGGGCTGTTTTTCTACATATAATGGCGCAGATAAACACTCCATTAATGCCGCATTTGCCGTTGGTGAAACTCGTTGGCTATTTTTCTGGCTGATACTTTTTCACGCCGGCGGATATTTTTTCGCCTGGTTGGTGAAACTCGTCGGCTGGTTTTTGACAGAAAAATTGCGCCGGGCTGCTATTTTTCTGTTGGTAAAACTGGCCTCAGTACTGTCTCACCCGCCGGCTGCGTCTGTCGCTGACGAGGGGACGCCGTGCGTCACCCCCGAGAATAGCTGCCAGTTGTTGTGGTGTGGCACGCCACGGCGGCATGGCCGAGACTGACCCGGAACGGGCGGGGCACGCCCGAATAACGAGGCTCGGCCGCCGACGCAGCGCCGGGGCCTTTTCATAACGCAGACCACGTGGATCATATTGAGCTGTACACATGATTTTCTCTGTAATTACACTCAGTACAACAAATCAAATAAACATTTGTTTGGAATGTGTTTGTTACTAATTGAGTCAGGAGCCAGAAGCAGTTAATGACCTCTAAAAAGTTGGCATTTTTATCTGACGCGGTGTTGAAGCAATGCATCGTGTTTCCTTTCTTGTTTAAAGCATCTCACATTTATAAAGCATCATATCTACGCTACCCTCACACAGTATAAAAGCTAGTTGATCTCAGATAGCACCTTGCATTACAAATCACATCGCTTCACAAGCAATAATAAACAATACTGTAATACACACTAAGCGTTGCGTACCTAAATCTATCATACGACTGGCGCAGTGTACTTCACTGTCGCTAGTAAGTCACCCGTGCAATGTGCAAATAAGGCCCGATATAGCGATTCCCAAACCCGGGACAGGAACAAACGAGTTACAAACGAGTAAAGCGACCAGTAAGACTGGTTTATGACGAAGGTGAGGGTCTAGCCGGACCGTGGCAGGCACCTCAGAAACGTGACGGTCGTCACCGGATCGACATTGTAAGGTCGGACGGGCACCGCACTGCTAACTGCACGAACAGGCTCCTAACGCGTGACTCCGATACGCTCGAGTTTTGCCGAATAAGGCAGGCGACCATCGGCCAGTAAAGGCGTGTGGTGAGCGCATCGGCCGGACAGTGCTGGCTGTGAGCTCGTCCCGCGGGGTAGCACTAGACGTAGCAGCACTAGCAGCCACTCTAGCAGCAGCAGTGGGGATCTCGGGAAGTCAGCTGGCTGGTGGAGGATCACTTGGACTCCTTGGGCGTCGGGAAAGGGCTCCACTGGTGGTCGGCCAGCTGGTCGTTGTGACCCTCTTTGAAGCAGGAGCGGCAGTAGAGGTCGCCGGAGCAGCCGGCGCAGCGCACCGCGGCGTCCTCGTTACAGATGCAGCACCAGGGCAGCTCCTGTCGGGAAGGGAGGATACAGATACAGATGTATTCAAACAGGATCCCCTCTGAGGAGGGGCTTTTCACATGTTCACGTCAATGAAAAACCGAAAATACAAACAATGAAGCGCATACATAACTCTTTCACGCACATGCATTCGTTCAACATACGTTCATGTCGGTGACGTGGCCAGCAGCACATTTTTTACTTTATAGCGGTACGACAGAATACCTGGCTCGACTCCCAGCTCGTTCAAACGAGCTATGCCACGGTAGCAGAGCCTACGGCGGCCTGCTTCCGTACGAATGGATGGGAGTGTAAAATAGTAGGCGCGCCTGGTGTCGTGTCTATGACGCTGGCTAGCCCGCTGGCCAAGTGTACCTCGGAGATATTCGGGCTGTCCAGACGTGATGATGCGCTCTACAGCGCTCACAGTGTGATACGTTACTAACTGTTTGGCAGTCAACCACTTCAGCTCCTTAATGACTGCCACAACATTATCGCGACGCCGCCGACCGGATACGACACGCGCACAAAAATTTACCACTTTCTGCAGTCGACAAAGCTGCGTCTCCCCACACGATCCATACACCGATAAACCATACCGCAACACTGACATGACCAGCGCTCCGACAATCTGCCTCAGGGCTGATCGTGGTATCACGTGCCGTGCGTGTATCAGCGCTGTGAGCATGCCTGTGCATTTCCGTGTTACGGCATCTACATGCGGCACAAAGTTGAGGTGGCGGTCAAGAATGATTCCTAGGTTTTTCACAGTCTCAGACTCGGTAATGGTAGTCGCGCAGAAGTTCAGGGTAACTGGTGGCAAGGTTCGAAGCATCGCCGGAGTTCCTATAACAAGCATCTGCGTCTTTGCAGCGTTGAGCTTCATTCCGTTGTGGCAGAACCACAGATAGACACGAGCCAGTGCGTCCTCCATGCGTGCAGTCATCGATTGTAAGTCACATTTCCTGCCAGTTACCATAAGCTGAGTATCGTCAGCGTACTGAACTATGGTGACGTCTTCGGGTACGCTCAGACACAGATCGTTGGAGAAAAGCATGTACAATACACAGCTCAAGGCGCCGCCCTGGTACACGCCGATGGTGTTCTCCTTGCTGTCAGACAGCAGGATGGAGCCGTCCGCACACCTCATCTGAACCTGCTGCGAGTGGTTAGCCAAATAGTTTCTGAACCATGAATTTTCGATGCCGTACAACGACAACTTTTCGAGAAGTTTTGTGTGCGGAACCACATCAAAACATTTAGAAAGATCCAAAAGTACCAATATGCAAATATGTCCGTTGTCCATTGCTTGAAGAGCCTGGTCTGTTATGGCGTGAAGCGCCGTTTCCGTGGAGCGTTGTTTTCTGTAGCCGTGCTGTGCGTCCGAAAGCAAATAATTTTCTTCAAGGTAAGCAAATAACTGTTTCTGCACAACACGTTCAACTAATTTCATGATCGCCGGCAGAATGGAGATGGGGCGCGTGTCGGACGGCTCGAGGGACCTGTTCCCCTTCGGAATAGGGGTCACTAAGGCGTGCTTCCATTCCTGAGGTACATCACCGGTGGCGAGACTGGAGTTAACAACGTCCAACAGCGCGTGGCCTATCCCGGGAAAATAACGCTGCAGCAAACGCACGCTTACACCGTCCCTGCCTGCTGACATAGAAGGTTTCATTGAAAGCAGTATCGCGTACAGAGAGTCCAAATCGGTAGCCTGCACCTTAAACGCGCTCGTCAGCACTCTTGGTAGTAACATGGGCACACGTGCTGTAGCGGCAGGAACACTGGCTGCGGTGGCAGGGCCGACTGCAACATAATAGTTGTTAAGAGCATTCGGTGTGATCCTCGGTATCTCACAGCTCTGCTGTTTCCTGCCCAGCACCGGCCGCAGCACTCGCCACAGCCCGCCTCGGTCACCGCGGCTGATAGCACCGGCGTACCGCGCACGGGTATCGTTTCGCACGGCGGCGCGGCACAGACGGTTCACCCGCTTATACTCGGCTCGATCGCCCCGAGCTAGAGCCGCCCGGCGGGACTGCAACAGCTGCTGGGTCTCGGCTGTCACGGCCGGCGCGGTCACCTGCCTATTCCGAACACGTCTGAGGGGCGCAACATTGTCCAATTGACCTATGAAACGTTCCATTTACGTTCGGTGGTGTCGCAGCCATACACTGGGTTCCAGTCCGTATCAGCGAGCTGCTGATTAAACGAGTCATGGTCAATCCTGTTGATAGCTCGGCGGTATACATTAGAGTTTCCAGCTGCCGCGGCACGACGCTCACGGGACAGCAAGACACGGGTGTAGTCATGAGGACCGCCGTAGTGACATCTCGTGACACCGACACGCCTAATCAACTCCGGGCGGTTAGTTATGATCACATCTAACAGAGTCCCCGCCGGACGATAAGTAGCTTGACTCTGATTAGTGACGTGGAATCCGTACGTGGTACACAGTCTGATCAGTGGGTTGGTCTCACTGGTCTTCGCCTTAAGTAGGCAACAGTTGAGGTCGCCTCCGAGTATAAGTGTCGCTCGTGGGAAGTTGACAGTCATATGCTGGAGCTGGCACTCCAGGTCGTCAAGGTCAGTGGTGAGCTGACGCGCGGTGTTATGCGGCACTCTGTACGCCGATGCAACCAGCACCGTCTGGTGCTTACTGGTCCGCACCAGCACCCAGATGATCTCCAGGTTGGAGCCGGCCACGCCCGTCACAGGTGTCGGGAGCAGCTCGCAGCTCAGGCTATCACGTACCAGCACGGCCACACCGCCCCTCCCTCTGGGCAGGCTGGAGCTGACCGGCCTGTCCCGCCTGAAGAGCCTGTAGCCGCTCACACCAACCAGCCGGTCAGGCACAGGCGGCGCCAGCCACGTCTCGCAGAGGGCCAGCACATCAAAGCCGTAGACGTCGTGGATGTCGTTCCGAATGTCGTGCAGCTTGGGCTTATAAGACTGGATGTTCAGCTGTCCGATTATTAGTTCGTCAGTTCCAGCGTCGCCGTGGCGGCGCCAGTTAACGCCACCACGCCTGCCACGCCGCCTGGACTCGCCCCTGCCGCCGGGCCGTGTGCCGACAGCCGGCGCGGCCGCGCTAACCGGCTGGTTGACAGGTCTCGCCCTGGGGCGCTGAGGGGACGCTCGGTCGGCCGGCCGGCTCGGCCCGGCGGTGGCGGTGGCAGCGGCGGCGGGCTGGCCCGGTCGACGGGGCCACGGGGGTCTGGCAGGCTGGGCGGCGTGCAAGATGACATGCAAAGCATGCAGGATCAGCAACGCCCTGATGATAAGCGCTGCCGGCCCTGGTGTAGTAGCCATGACCAGTCTTCACCGTCACAGACGACAGACGTATCAAATCGTCTCAATTCATGCATTCGCCACACACTCTGACTCGCTCCTTGCTCCTTGCAGACCAAGCAACACACTCGATCTCGCAGTTGTTCTCGATCCACACGCTCAGTCTCTGCATTCGCACAAGACTCACTCAGCACAAACACTCACTCCCACTCAGGCGTCGGGTAACACAGAGGAGAGCAGTCGGTCAGACAGCGCAGTCGTGAATACTGCAATAGTTAAAGTATGGCTCTAACACTGAACACTGACTGGCAAATTATAGGACTAGAAATACAGCGAACAGCACAAGCGACAGGCTTGCAGTGATTGGTGATATGAAATTATTGAGTTCGTGTAAATTGGGTGAAATGCATCCAACGGCGAATAAGAAGTTGCGGTCGGTACTCACTTCATCGTCCACTGATGAGATGGACTCCAGTTCCTCGTTCAATTCTTTGTCTTCCAAGGCCGCCTCCTCCGTCACCTGTAAATCGAACAGGATTGTTGGTGTTTTGTTCGCGGCTGTAGGGGTTCAAGGCTGGGTCGACAGCGGAGGAATCATGCGCCTCACCAAAAAGGATATTTGCACGGCTGCGCATAAGGTAAAGCATTTTAACGTTGTCTCCCTCTCCAATACACATCCGTTGACCTGGAAGACAAGGACAATATGCCAGTAGAATGTCTTGTTCGACTTAATTATAACTAGTTGAATCATCTCCAGTCAGCCCCAATGATGGCTGGCTGATGAATGATTTATGACTGATTAACCGTATAACCACCTCTGGTTCCTCAGTGGAGTCTGAGCCCCTCACGTATCCTAACCTGTCTAATGAATTGCTGTACCTTCCGTTCGTCAATGGTGACTTTGACGATTTATTACCAGTCTATCGAGTCGTTGCACCGTCTGGTCCTCACTGGGGTCCTCACATGTCGGATGAGTCTGAGATCGTGTTCTCACCTGTCTGATGTGTCGCTGTACCTCCCGTTCCTAGCTGTGGTCCTCTCAGTGTCCTCACCTGTCTGATGAGTCGCTGTACCTCCTGATCCTCGCTCGGGTCCTCCGTGTCCTCTCCAGCGCCGTTGGAGGAGGTTGCCGGGCCGCCGCGCCGCCCGTCCCGCGCCAGACCCTTCACGTCCTCCAGCCTGCCCGGATACGTGCGTTTTCAACACGTTCGGCCAGCGATTCGCTAACCAAATTTATTGCTAAGTCCTAAGGCATTGATATTTATGAAACATCTATCTATGAAGTAAGCAGCTATTCGGAACTTTCATTTAGAGTAGCGAATGTTCCAGCTGGTAATATGTAGAAATTGCCATCTCAGAGCACGGTCTCCATGCTTTTGAATCACCATCACAACCGGCGATTTCCTCTCGCATTAGTAACAACTCCACCTGCACACGTAACATCGCAGCAGCCAACCCCCTCCCCCCCCCCACACACACACATACTGACCGGTGGTGAATATCGGCGACCTTCTGCGCTATCTGGTTGGCGCGCTCCACCTCGGCGGCTACCTCTGCGCTGACGGCCGCCACCAGGTCGGCCGGGCTCTGATTGTCGGCACTGGCCGGGGTCTGGCGCAGAGAAGACAGCTTACGGTCAGACCAAGGCACAGCTGGGTAGCCAGCGGTACACAATACATAGCGGAGTTCACAGAAAGATGCAGTGAGCGGTATGCAAATCAGATACAGATGAATTACACAGAAGTTGGTATCCAAATTTTGTTGATTGGTCGTGCGCGGTCACAGGACCGGCGATTCGACACATCGCTGACTGACCCACCCCCCTTCCCGGCCCTGACCTGCGGGTGTCTCTGACCACCCGTCTCGCCGGCTGCCGTCGTGGCGGGGGCGGGGGCGGGCCCGGGGTCGGCGCCGCCGCCGCGCAGCCGCTCCAGCCGCTCCTGGAGTCCCTCCTCGGGCCGGTAGCGCGCCGCGATGGCCAGCTGGTCTTTGGTCTCAGCCAGGAGGTCGTCCTCCTGCTCCGCGGCCGTGCGCCGCTCCGGCGGCGGCAGGTTACCGGACGGACCGGAGGAGCTTGAGGTACACGGCTCCCCCTTCAGGGCGGCCAGACGCGCCGCCATCTCCGACTCCGTCGGCACGCTGAAAGGATAAACGGAGATTAGCGAGGGACGAAAAATCTTATGGGCCATCCACTAAAATGAGTGATCAAAATATAGATCAGACTGGCGCTAACGCACGGCGTACCGCATAGTGTACATTAGTTGCCGTCAATTACCCAACGCAAAATCACTTGTCAAGCAACATCCAACTTAGAGCTCGGAGAAGACGGTGACCCATGAATGCACTTACTTCTTTGCCTTGCGGTCCGCCTTGAGCGCCTCGAGCCGGTCGACGAGCTCCGAGTCCTGGTGGCTGAGGCCACGCTTCAGGCTGGCGGCGCGAGGCGACTGCCGGTACACCACGATCGGCGGGCGGGCAGGATTCTCCAGATCTTCCAGGCGGCTAATCGGGCAGGACCGGGTGGTGTTACGTGGACGCAAGGGAGCGTGTATGTGTATACGCGAATAAAAGCATACCTTTCCCTGCGAACAGGGGAAAGTAAACTAAAACGAGAGGTGCTTACACGCTAATCCAGCTCAGGTTATTATTATAACAGCAGCTGCAGTCGGCAATGTTTACCGTTTGAGTGCTTCTGGCGGCACCAGGGGCGGAGCCTCGTCCTCGATGGTCGTCGCCTTGTTGTAGCACTTGCGGCACACGGACTGCTTCTTGCCATCGATCGGTAGTTTTTCCGGCAGGCATTTGGAGCAGAGGGACATGTGGCATATTGGACAGCCGTGCTGTTGGAAAACAGGCGATGCCGTTACCGCTCGCATACTTTTAACATTTGCTTATTTTTTCATCGTGTCTATTTTTCATCCTTTATTATCATATTTGAGGAGTGTCACCAGCATACACTCAGCGGTCGATAAACATGCGTCATGCATTCAGCATGACTGCCGTACAAGAAAACAAAACAAAACTTTGGCACGCCAGCCATAAGACATCAACAAAACAGTCACAAAACAACAACATCACGTCCACGCGCGAACAGGCTCCGCCACCGACGCCGGCCGCGACGACGACGGCGAGACCACCAGCCACGCCCCCGGCGGAGGCCGCTACGGCGGCGGCGGCCAGCCCGATCTCCGGATCAGCGCGCAGCAGCTCAGACCGTGTCACCTCAAGCGTGGCAGCGGTACGCTCAGCACCCCCGCACCCGCTGCATCACAGGGCTTGGGAAAGGATTGGAGATTTCATCGTGTCTCAGTGTGTAATATATAATGCTATAAAAAGGCTATTCTAGGAGCACTGTATCATATACAGTAACCTTCTTGTTCAGCTGTTCAGCTGAAACGAAGCATGCTGCAGTTGCAGCACACATACCATGGTAGTTTCTACACCAGCTAGTCCCGCCCACACCCATGTGCCACCCAAGACACCCAAACAGCCCTCTGAGCAGTCACTTAGGCCAGGGCGCATTCACAGTCTCCTCGGACGAAGAACATTCGGTAAAAGTATACATTGAGTCCGAGTGACTGTTAACCCTCGCATGTGTAGGGGGGGGGGTCGGATGGACCCCCCCCATGGTTTTTCGCGAATAACTCGCGTAAAAAGCGGCCGATCGCGACGAAACTTTCAATACCCTCGCAATGATCAATTTGACACCTACCCTGAAAATTTCATGACCCTGACCCAAATGACCTTTGACCTGTGACCTCTTTTCCGAGACCATGTTTGGCCGGAATCGCGATTTCGCGTATGTCGGCTCGCACTAGCCGCGTGTTTGCAAGCTTTTCGTGGTTTCAAACGTTCCAACATGTGATTTGATGTTACTGCCGTGTGTGTCAAGGTCACCTGAAGGTCAGGTCAGGTCATTGACCTTTGGTGACCTCGGGTGACCTCGGGTCACTTTTTCGAGTTTTACATGTTTCTAGGCTAGTCTTTGGAGCTGAATTCGAATTTAGCAACCATTTGAACATTTACGGAGTAGTTTTGGTGACTTCGTAACATGTTACGAAGCTGTCAGAGGCGGTTGACACGTACTACGAATACCCGTCACGACGCCTACTGGTTGACCTGACCTGACCTGACCCGACCTGGTCTAAATGCTTCAAGACATCATCTGTGATCAAAACTAACACGATATTCGTGATCAGCACCCCGAAAAACCCATTAGCAGCCACACTTTACGACTTTCTAACAGGTCCCGATTTTCCCGACTTTGGGTCATTGACCTGACCTGGAAGGTCAATCAATGACCTAGGACCTTAAAATTGGGTATCATCGGCTTCCTCTCGTCACGGGCAACACGCTCGTTTTTTCCGCGAAGCTCTAGCTCGATCAGGGGCCAAACGGCAAGGGGGGGTCCAACCGACCCCCCCCCCCCTACACATTAGAAGCTGGCAAACGCCGCACACATGCGAGGGTTAAAAGATAAAGTTTTAATATTCTTACATTATTTGACATCCTGAATCCAAAAATGATACTTATATGTCTTGGAAATAAAAGAAAAAAACAATCAAACCTGACCTAACCTTACCTATTTACCTACAACCTACCAACCTACAAACCTACAACCTAACCTAACCTACAAACCTACCAACCTAAAACCTAAAACCTACAAACCTACAACCTAACCTAACCTAAAACCTTAATTTTTTGCTGTTACATATTTGTATCAACAGCATCACAATTGTCCACTCGGACCTAATATATACTAATACCGAACATTCTACGTCATCCGGCCAATCCAATTTGATAACCACAGTCAAGCTGACCTTGAAAACCATTGGCCGGACGATGTAGAATCTTCATCGTCCAGGAGACTCCAAATCCGGGGTTATACTTCAGGGTACCTATTTATTTGCTCACCTCTCGGAAGAAGAAATTGTATTTTGAAAAACAACTTGAGCAAGACATTACTCAAACTCTTGAGTGCTGAGACACTCAGGTAGTCAGAACCGATGCTTTTTAACCACTTCTTTCCTATGAAGCTTTGACAAAACCAAGTTAAACTGATATTTATCTTTGCATTAATACTATGCTGATCCTAATCTGGCACAGCTTCACAATTTCAGCCACTTCTTCTGTGTGGGTTAGGGCAATTTCAGCCACAGAAACAATCACAATCTGACCCAGTGTCTTCAATGCACCAAAATTGATCTTCATACGTGCAACCTGCAACGTAGTAAAGTAATATTGGTGCCAAGGCCCTATATACCATTGGTGCAATGGGGCAGATACAATGTAGTGAAGAATATAGCTGTTTTCTTTTCATTACCAGCTGCAAAAACCGAGAACGTATCCCTAAGTTGGCCAATGCACAGAGAACAAATGAAAATATGACGTCATCGTTCGCAGCATTTGAACATATAAACGAACCATCTGCGCCATTAAATGAATTTGAACCTCTTAAAGCCCCTTAAAGTACTGCAAAAAGTGTTTTTGCCTTGTTATTTTGCAGTTCAGTGATCCCGGCTTGGGTTCCTGGAAGTTGTGGTGCGTGAATAAGCGAGATAAATTCCTTATCGTAATTCATTGCAAGGAGTTAGGACCGACATAAAAGGTAGGAATTAAGTCTTGCATGCCATGATAGATCAATCGTACCTACCAGGCAATGCTGGATAGTTTTTTTTTTCTTATTATTTGAGTTCCTTGGGTTTTGAGAATGTCAAATATCAATTATCAATAGCTAAAAATACAAAGAAACAAATGGAAAGTTTGAGCAATCTTGTTTAATATATCTGTGTGCAATGGTTGTGCAGTGGCTCAATTCTTCCTTGGGCTACAGAACATTTTGCATGTTGCACTTGCAGAGCATTTTGCGAAGTTCAAAATCCATTTATTGGGTGTTAGGTTTCAAAAGTGTATGTTTGTAGGCAAGATAGGACCACACAAGTAATGTGTATGTTCTAAAAGGTTGAAATGCTAGCATGACATGGAATATAGGTAGGTAGGTAGGCAGATAGGTAAGTTCCACTTTTTTAGCCAATATCTAAAGATTTTTTAGTGATGTTCATTTACATGACAGTAACGTTATCTGTAAAGTGTAACATGACAGCACTGCTGCCCAGTGTTTCTGGTGAAATGCCCATTGCATCATATTGATGTATCAAACATCAAGCTTTGAGGCCAATTTAGGTAACAGCAAAGCATTTCATCCAGCATGTCAACATTTGTTCATGGTATCCTCAGACCTCATACCTATATAACCGGACCTGATCTGTGGGCAAAGGCCAAATACAGCACAGGCCAGGGAAAGAGGTCTTATCATTGTATAAGACCTTGCTCACTTCTAAATGAAATGGAAGTCTGATAATTACCTACACTGATACAACTCTTTCTCATGGCAAGGATAGTTGACAATCAAAATTTGAAATATAACTTATCTGTTGATAGATAGGTGTCTAGTGCCTACAGTGTCTGCTTTTGACGTTTGAAACATAATGTGATAGCAATAATAACGTTTGCATAACTATTCAGAATTCATAACAAAGCAAATGACGTTTTGTCATCCAAACATTGTGCTCTGCACTGCATCCACTAAGCTCAGCCTTCTGCCTGGGCTCTCAGCCACCATGCACATCACAGAGGACCAGGCAGCGGCGCTGGCCAGGCTGGCGCCCACTGAGGTCGGCCCTGTGACAGAGAGCGCCCTCACTGAACTGGAGAGCCCCGCCGAGGGGCCGGCGCGACCGCCGGACCGCACCCTGGCCGTGCTGGCCGTGCTGCTGGCGGCGGCCCGCGCCCCGCCCGCCGACTCGGCGCTGCTGGCCGCCGCTCTGCAGGCCGCCTCCGTGCCGCCGGACGTGCTGGAGCGGCTGCTGTCTGCTGCCGCCGAGAGCCGGCCGCGCGTGCGGCGCGCCCTGCTGGCCGGCCGGCCGGCGCCGCAGCAGCTGAGCGGTCTCAGCTGGCGGCTTGCGACCGTGGTGGGCAGTCGCGCGCTGCCGACCCAGCTGCGGCCCGAGCTGCTGCTGCGGCTGCAGCTGACGCAGCAGCCGCACCAGCTGTCGCTGCTGGTGGAACCGGCCGACTTGCGACACATCACGGCCGAGCTGGAGCGGGCGCTGTCCCGGCGGCCGGCGGGACATCGGCTCGGTCCATCGGCCTCAGCTCCGCCACACTGACTGAAATACCGCCAGCGGGACAGGACCGAGAACGGAGGTGCCTGCGACACCGCACAGACGGTGTGGAGGGGATAAACTCCCAAAGCAACTTCCCACAGGCTGAGCAGGGGCAGTGACGGCGAATCACTTACTAGCAACATCGAGACTGATCAATGCGCTAGGGGACCACTGGTTGCTGGGGCTGCTCGGTGTGTATTCTGTGCAGGGATGGTAGACCACTGCGTCAACTAGACCGGACTCGAACCCGAACAGCCTCTGATGCACCACTCTTGCGACGTCATACGGACGTCGGCAGTCACGGGTGCGGATCATGAGTGCGAACTTTCGCGTAAATATCCCACTGAAAAAGTGATAACATCTTGCATAGATACATTCAGATGCATGTTGTGTATTGTGCAAGTGTTCGGGTTGATACCGTATTTGTACTTGGAAGACTTTCCATTTCAAATGAGGCATGAGCATCAAGGAATGAGTCAGCTGGAGGCTGGAAGGACCTCGATGAATACGTGTGCCGGTTCTCAGACTAGCGCGGGCATACCAGACACGATGACCCCAGCTCTTAGCCATGTGTGTCTTTTCGGCGTATGAAACTTAGAAAATGCCTGGAGGGCGGATCGCTGCGTGCCTTTGTACCGAATCTATGATATCGATATTTATCAATAGCGAGCACCACATTGTCTAGCTGGCAATGTAATTGACCAACCATGTCATGAAGTGGGCTGCCTTCTTAGAGCCTCTTTGTTCGTTGTGGTTTGTGAGCTGAAGGAGAATGCATGAGATTATTTTGAAGATGATTCATTCCATGATTGTTGGTTATGCTGGTTGAAATTGCTTGATGTCCGTCTTTCTTTCCTTGGTATTTCGCTGTGGTTTCCTGATTTATATTAGTTAACGTCTCGTGCTTTTAGTGGTCATTCATGATAGTCTTGCTAGTCGTTTTGATAAATGATAGGTAATGACGGTGATAATCATAATGTCCAATGCGAACGATGCCAACTACCTACCATTCATATATCCGATAAAGTTGTGTGACATCCGAATAACCGTGGCATTGCCTTCTTTGAATACACTACGTGCTACTAAGAATCACAGTAGTTGTGTGTGGGCATTGGCGGGGCTCAGAATCGATGTGAGGCTTATCCAAGAACAACGATCTAGGGAAGTGCCCAATGATGTCGGTCGATAGCGATGTTGATGAACAATGTGCCATATTGTTGTAACGTGCAGCTGAGGTGGACTAAACGGCCTTACTTGTAACTTGGCATTCAACGCTAGCTGCTCTGTATTTCTCAGCCATGTATGAGTCTGACTGAACGTTTCTAAATTTGAGCGAGCTGTAATCCGCTACTCCAGAGTCCAGACACTCGCGCCAATGGCTAGTGCAGACCAGTTTCAAGTTCTGACAATGTACATACGTCATGCCATCAGCCAGCTGATGCAGTGTACTCTCGCCCTCCCGTTCATCGGTCCTTATAGCATGTCGCCGGTGGGTCGTGCGTTACAGCGAGGGACTGTGGTTCAGCCCACCTGGTGAAGACTGAACCCAGGAGCGAGGAGCGCTTCACCGGCTCATCCGGCTCTGGAGGCTGACCTCCGTGGTCGATTGCGACGTCACTGGTGTGTGATCAGCTCCTCACCTGCTGCTGACAATGCCGGAGAAGCGGCTGGTGCGACTGCTGCTGCAGCAGTGCACCTCCGCCCAGCTGGACCTCCGGGGGACTGACGCCGTCGGCGCAGAGTCAGATGCTGACCTCATACTGGAACGGTGCGGCGCTCCCGATGACGACGGGCTTCTGAAGGTTAGTTTCGTAGTCCCTAGGCGATACGCTCCCCTTTACCTAATGGGCGGCTCTTTCCTAGATTGTCTACAGATACAGATAGTGTAATGCTGAACAGATGGCATCTGTGGAATGTGGATACTGGATAGCATTCTGGCATTTGTCATTTAACTTATTAGCGAAACGTTTCGTGGTAACTGGTTGGTACTTAATACTTTCCTGAGGTCGTATATTATGCCACCAACTCCATGTCATTCATAGCTGCGTACTGCGCCACGACTCGTGTCCTGTATTCATATCTCCGTCTAAACCTCATACTCCTCTCTCCCTGTCAGATCGGCCCCGGCCTGGTACTCTTCGTCTGCTTCCTCTCGGGCTGTGACGACGCCACGGCTCGGCGCGCCGCCACCACCGCGCTCTCGGCTCGTCTGAGCGAGTCTGCTGCGGACAGTCGGCGTACAGCGATCACCTCTGCTCCCGGCGACATACTGGTGGTACCCCAGGCCACACTAGGCGGTCAGCTGAAGGGAAAGCAGTTCCAGTACCACGGTAACGTCTCTAAGGCGGACGGCGCTCGGCTCTATGCGGTGTTTGTGGAAGCGCTGAGCGAGACAGCGGCGGAGGTCGACGGCTGGAGCCAGGCGGGCTGCAGGATTCGGTGTGGCAGGTACGGGGCCAGGCAGGTGCTCAGTTCGACCACCAATGGTCCGTTTTCACATGTGATAGAGTTGTGAGAAGGGATGGAGTTCGGGTTCGTGAGAACTGAGTTAAGATTTGTGTCTGCATTTTGTGTTTTTGGTTTGATTGATTCCGTGTGATTTTACTGAATCGCTTACCGGTGTTAGATTTGTCTTGAAGACGAGTCATATCTGACCTACTAGTGTAAAGTTTGACTTCAATGGGTTCAAGGGTGGTGCATCGCCCTAAAAAAAGTATTGCTGTAGGCCGATATCACCCAGTGATTCCTCCAACGCGCGTAAAGGTGGTCTCATCTCCCATTCCCCTCAATCACAGCCAGTGAATACAGTCAGCTCGCGGTATGACCTCACGTTTATTGGCCGTGGGTGACACGTATGTACACACGCTAAGTACAAAACAGGCGTTACAAACGCTGGCGGCACCGGCTGAGCTCCGTCGGTGGCGCCCGGGCCGGGGAGCTGGCCCGTCCTCTGCGCCAGAGGCTGGACTGAGACTGAGGCGGGCCGGGCCGCTCCGCACAACAGCTGCTCTAATGTCGTCCCCTGCTACTCGGATGCGTCGCAGTCATGGGCTTTGATTATGGATGCTTGATATTGTGACAAATCCGGCCGGTATACTGCGACAATATCGGCGCCGTAGTTGTGCGGCCCGCAGCCCATGCGCTCCTAATGGCTAACCTACGTCACTAGCTGCAATAAATAAATCAAAACATGTTCAAAATCGCCGTGCGCTCCAGAGCAATACATGCCTGAGCAGCGCCCATCGCTCGGCACAATTTGTCAGTGTCTCGCAGCACATAACACCGCGAGTTCAGTTGATACAGTGAGCGGGCGATCTCAGGCAGTTGAGCCCAGTCGTACTAACCGACGTCCCGTAGCAGATACCCCATCCGGCTGGCCCTCAGTGCGAGGCGACTCGCGATCAGGGGCTACAGCCAACACACGCAAACAAGCACGAACAGATATTTAAAATAAATCTCTCAGTCGCCATACTCAGTACATTCGCTGTCCAACAGAGCAGACCTGCGTCCCGACAGCGCAGTTCGGTCGGTCTGACGGCGGCAGTGTTGGTACCATAAAACCGGCCGCTACCGGCGAGTATGACACGTCTGGTGGGCTCGCGGGTCGCCGGACGCGGCCCTAATCTCGGTCGTCGCCGGAACCATTCACACAGCGGCGGTGGGCCGCGACACCCCACAGCTACCTGTCATTGAAGGACACACCCGCGCGACAGCCGCCCGACACCCGGTGAAGCTCATTGGGACACCATGCGGACCAGAGGGTGGTACTTCCAACCCCAGCGAGTCCAGCAGCGGACGGCACAGCGCACCAGGCGGCCGCGCGAGCCGTCTTATGTGCTCTGGTGGGCAGGACCGTTGAGCGTCGCTTATTGCTCCTCTACGCGGCGCATCTTTGTACTCGAGTCGGACAGATGGCGCCAGCAGCCACCAGCTGACCTCAGCTGACCCGAACGGCACCCGGTGACCTCAGTTGACCCGAAATGACCCGGTCGACCCTCACAGCCCGCTGCTGCCCTGGCATTCGGACGTAACGACACCTTTGAGCCTCTCAGCGGAAAATCACTATACAAAAAATACAGCTGGCGCGGCCCAGCCGCCGGTGCTACCACCTAGCGACTATGGCAGGTACTCGAAGTATCACAGCGATCCACCAACGGGGACCGGAGCGAGCCCAACAGCGGCACTACCTCAATATTCCGGGTTCTGAGTCGACCTAAGCGAAACTAATCGGTTGATTGAATATGGTTTAATGGGTGAAAGTCTGAACGCTTAGCTAAGTTAACATATAAGCATTTTTACACGTTAAAAATACACTAGAGGAATGATGCAAATCCTGATCCATTCTACTCAATTCCTATGAACAAAATATGACGACTTTTTTGATGGGACTCTAGTGAACTGATCAGCTATCTCTGCTTGTAAGAGCGCTAGTTCGACCCAGATACCCGAGATATTGTGTCGGCGCCGTCCGTCAGTGCTCACCCCGTCCGGGCGCGGCTCGGCTATAGCGCCAGCAGCGAAGAGAGCGCCGCCGCCGCCGTCGCCGCGTCGGGCTCGTCGCGCCGGTCTGCCGGGAAGGTGCGTAGCACGTCGTCGGCCGAGAGGGGCGTCAGCTGCCAGCCGGTGTGGGCGTCCAGCGGCACCAGCTCCAGCTCCGGCTGGCTGCCCAGGCTCAGCACCGAGCTCCAGTTGATCTCGTCCTCGCCGAAGCCGCTGTCTCCGCAGGGAGAGGCAGACACGACCGGCGCCGGTGGTAGGCTGACGGCCGCCGGAGGTGGCGGCGTCTGCGGTGGGGGAGGCGGGTCCAGTGTCAGAGGACCGCTGTCGAAGTGGTGCGGGTTGAAGGCTGCTGCCAGAGTGAGGCCCTCCTGTTCCAGCTCCCTCTCGATGTGCCGCATCGTGTTGAAGAGAAGCACCGATTTGCGCAGCGGAGGGTCGACCATGCGCCGGTGTCTGCTGAGTTTGAGCATGGTGGTGTGGAGCGCCGTAAACCTCTGGTACCGGTACAACTGGGAGCGCTCCCGCCGCGCCGGCACCGCGCCCAACTGGATGTAACTCTTACCGTCACACTCGACAGTCTGGTTTTGTGGCCGCTGGCCGGCGCCACCCTCCGAGTACCACCCAGAGTAGGTGGCTCGCCCGAGCTCGCAGGCCGGTGAGTAGCCCGACTCCGCCGACTCCGGGCTGGCGCTGAAGGCGGTCCGCTTGTCGGAGAGCAGGCACGAGGCGAGGATGCTGCCCTGGTAGCCGCGCTCCTCGTCCTCGTCCTCCTCGTCCTCCGACTCGTCCTCGCTGGCCTCGGAGGACGACTCGTGCGGCGAGGGCGGCGGCGTCTCCTGGCGCCACACGGGTGCCGGCCGCAGCCGTTTACCGGGCGGCGGCGGCTCGGCAGTGTCCAGAGGACGCTTCCGCAGCTCGTCGGTCTCCTGGTGCGCCCGCGCCGCTTGCTCCAGAGGACAGCCCGCTGACGCAGGCTGTACGTGACCCATCGCCGCGTCGGAGACACTCAGCTGAAACAAACAGACGTACAGACAAGGTCAGACACGAGGAAACTAGCCGGAATAAGCTAAAACACACATTGATCGAGCAAAAAAGCCACACAGTTCTCGTGTGGCTTTTTTACAGGCAGAGTTTAACTCCCGACCAAAGCCTCCAAAAATGCATATTTGTTTCAGTGTAAAATTGGCGTACGTGATAAGCTTGATCGAGACGACTGAGACTCAGCTCCCCAACCCAGCTTTGTTGCGCATCTCCCAAGCCTCTAGAAACGACGCCGGTGGTCAAAACTAGAACCTATAGTTCACCCATCCACCGCCAGAGGCGCCCGGAGCAGCGCCGATGACTGCGCCGTGGGCGAGCCAGCCGGGGCCGGGGCCGGGGAGAGAGAGTGGGAGGGAGGGGAGTGCTCCACTAACGCCGCCGTCGGCTCAGGGCCGCCTCCCAGCCAGCCAGCGCTGGCGCGGCGGCGCAGCGGTGGCGACTGGCGGGGGACCGTACCGACCGCTTGGCACCCAGCGCCGCCGGAGGCACACGGCGCTACGCTCCAAGGACCCAGGGTTATATGCACGCTGAAGAACATATAAGCTGCAACATATCCAATATGGATATCGGATAACTTATTCACTTCAGTATAAAGATTTAATGATATGCTGGATTTTTTATATAGTGGTTCGTCGTAAAATATTTCAATTTATGTAAGTATATTTTACACAAACTTTTTTTCTTCAAAATAATTGTAACGGCCTGATTGGAACGTTTTAAAAAGTCAAGTCTTCTCCGAAATTATCCCATCAGGTGTAGTTACTATTTCCTTTTGGAAATCCTGCCGAATCAAAGACGGCATCCGCATAGAGGTGTAAAAATTTTGTCATTTTAAATATTACACGTATCATGAAGTAAATATCATGAAGAATTATAGTACGTATCTTCTTCACTGTGGAATTGATACTCTAGTCTGGCTAGCCATATCAGCATAATTTTGTTAAAGGGACCCTCCCACCTTCAAAAAAGTTAATGAATTGGCATGAAAGTGATGTCGCTCGGTTCAGAAAGAGCAAAAACGAATATCTACCAAATTTCATCGAAAAATATTCACCGGTTTTCAAGATATTAGACTTTTACTTTTGTTTACTTTTTGGGATCTCCGCTGTTCCTAGCGACTTTATTTGAAAGTGCGGCATTTGTTGCGTGCAAAGCAGCATATACCACCGCGTGCTACAAAACGTTTTAGTCGAACATTTAACGGACGTTCGAAAGCCTGATGACGTCATCAGATTGCCGTAATGGTTAAGAGATAGGGACCACGCTGGTCCCACCCTGCAAGTAAAAGGAAGAAATTTCTTGAACACCATAAAGCTGCGGGGGTTGCGACCAGGATAAATGGTGGTTTCTGAGCCTGGCCGCAAACTTGGCTATCTCAACTCAAAACTAATGTTAAGGTGGGAGGGTCCCTTTAAGTACATCTACGTAGGTACTGATAAGATCGTCGATATATTTATACCTATAGGGTAAGGTGCCTAATTAGCGACCCCCTTAATTTGAACCGTCATTGCTCACGCTCTGTGGGTGTCACTGTATTACTGGCTTGATTTTCGGAAAGATCGTTCATTTTTCTATTAAAATATAGTCATTTTCTGCCCCAATATTCACTAACTTATTTGTAGTGAGCATTTTGGAAAACCATTGCAAAAAAAACGCTAATAGGGAACTCTTCCCAATTAGCGACCGGGGAGGGTCGCTAATAAGTCTATGGGTTTCCCCATATTAAAAATGGCAAAAAAATGCGACGCCTGAAAAGATGAAATATGATCTAAAAAAGGTAACCTATATACGCAAAGCACTCAATCACTCGAACAGGAACGTTTATCCAACACATTTACGTAAGTAAAAAACTGATCTTGTGATGCACCGAAGGCGAAAAGAAGGCAGAAACCCAAATTTTGCGGGCTATCTCGTATGATATTCGAGGTCCGCGCTGAATTCGGCACCCCTGCAGTCGGTGACGACATTTGGCATCCCCTGCCACACATTGCAAGCTTCAGCAACACCTCATTTTCATTTCTCTCTTTTCCCTTTCTTTCCCTTCTTGAGCTATTTGCGACCATGTCAGGCACAAATAGGAAATATGAGTTGCGACACATTTTTAACCGCCGTGCTGTGCACAGTTGAGCGATTCACTATGGGAAAACGGCAATCAATTAAAAAAGGAATGTCGATTCAGAATAAAAAAGGTGCATCATCCTAATGTGCACCACTCTTCATCAGAGAGGGCCCAAACACACACGTTTTGGATAAGAAACTCGTCATTTTTATTTAAACTCACCTGAAACGTCCCACCAGAAACATCGACGACCGGAAAATAATTTAATTTGATAACCAAAGCATGGCTGACCTTTTGACGATGTTTTTACCCCGTTTTCTCCTGCCAGTTTTTCTGTAGGGAGGTAGGTCGCAAATCGGAAAGGGTCGCTAATTAGGCACCTTACCCTACCTATAGGCATAGGTATCTACTATCTAGGCTGATAAGGTAGATCAGAGCGAGAGGATAGGCGCGAGGGCGCGAACATCTTCGGTATGCCTATTGAATTATAGGAATTATTCGTGAGTGAATAAAAAAGTACAACATAAAAAAATCAGCCCATCTGCACACAATAAAAAGTTAATTTAGGAATATTTGAATAATGACCTTATCCTTGTATTTAAAAAGGCTAAATCAATTAACCTTTTTAGGAATAGTTTAGTCCTTAACTTAGGAATAGTTTCAACTTGCAAGCGACTGAACATTCAAATATTTCTTTACGAATTTCTAATGGGAAAATTGAAGTAAGGTTCACACGTTTTTATCTCGGAGACGGAAGAATGTCGAAAATAAGGGATCCTCATTTTATATATTATTTCTTAACTTTTTTTCTTATCCTATATTTCTAATCCATTTTTAAACACAATCAATATTGTGCTGGTGAATTTAAACAGAGCTTAGGATATTGGCTGCCTCTTGATTAGCAGATTTTCTTACAAAGAAGGCAGATAAAATTGCAATCGAATCATTCATTCGAATATGGACTTCTACTCAGCAACCTTTATAAATTCTTACATATTCATTCATCGCACCTATGTCCATACCTAAGAAAGACCAGTAACAAGACGCCTTTTGGGGGGGGAGGGGGCAACAAACGAGCGAGCGCAAGTCTAAACACTGCTTGATCGTTACAATCACATTGAGCTCGCCTCACACAAGCGAAGTGTAGCACTAAATAAAAGTCGTAAAGAACTTGTATGAATGTTCTGATCTACCGTTGTTGAGCTGCAGATCAGCAACGGTCGTTTTTGGTTGGAACCCTCTACCTTATCGAATTATAGGTAACGGATGCCTATTTTTTCGCACTTAACTGATAAAACATGTCAAACTCTTTATTAGGTATACCTCCTAATGTCTTCTATCGAAAATTATAAATGAAACGCAATTTAAGTATCTACATTCCTCTCATGTCGTAGGTGAATGACTTTTATCATAAGAACAGTTCACCGAAATTCATGGCAGGGAAGGCAGCGTAAGAAAGGTTCATGCATGAAAACTACATCTATATTACTATTTGTGGTGACGTAGTTTCTGTCTATTACGAAGGTCGCGACATGGTGCTACGTAGCGCGGGTTACAGGTCACACCGTTGCACCTACCGCGCTGAAGTTTGCGCAACTCATAGAACAAGGATGGACAACGTGCCTTTGATGAGTCTCAGCTCGATCGGATCGATAGCGAGCGCGTGGCGCGTGCCCCAAAAGTGCAAATTCGCGTCATAGACTTTACATGTATTAATCGGCTGGCAAAAACGGGCGAAAACAGCCAAATTTGCCCGACACGGGTCCGGTCCCGGTGCAATATCTCGGTAACCGTGGGCCCGACCGGTACGGGGAAGACAGCATCGTGTAGAGAATCGAACGGGCTATCGAATGGTGTGCGGTGCAGGGGTTGGCACGCGCCACGTGCACCGGGGAGGACTTTTCTTTTGAAAAAAATGGACGTTTTGGACGGATTTTGGAATTTATATTAATTTCAGGTGATCGTCAGACGGAATGAGTTGAAACAGCGCCTATTAGCAATAAAAATGTACCGTCTCTCATGGAAAAATTGTGAAAAGCTAATTGATCAAAAACAATGTGGAAAAAATCGCTGAATTAAATGGTTTTTGTCCAAAATGTGCCGCTAAATAATTACACGGATTTTGCTGCTTAACCTGATACGTTTGACACTTGAAAATGCTATCATTGGAAAGAGCATTCAATTCTCTCCAAGATCCAATCATCACGTTTGCATGACAAGCAACAGTATTCTTAAAAATATAAATGTTTCAAACCTCTGCAAAACGATTCTTAGTGAAAATTATCTACGCCTTTAATTTGTCATAAAACTACGCACCTAAATTATAAAACACATTTGACAGATTTTTGAAGTAGAAAGCATGCTTATCAGACACGGGCACCTCGATGCGATGGATATTCTTTCCAAACCAAAACGTTTAGCCATCAAAAAAGCAATCGACCACCAGCAAGCAATCAACCAAACACCCGCCGATCGTAAATATCCCCTTTTCGCGTTGCGGAGCACGCGGGTCACCCTAGTCAATTCCTATTTGAAACATACCTATCATATGAATGTCTAATTAGGAAATGAGCATTCGTAGAAATGAGCATTCGTTACAAAAGAAGTAAGATGGTATGAATAATTTCTAGAAGGTTAATTACTGCATCCCATTGCCCCCCCCCCCTCCTGTTAAACTTTCGGGTTTCGTGAACCGTTCCGTTTCGGCAATTATTTAAAAAAAAAAATGCTTCGGGAACTTTTGGAGTGATGGGTTTAACACCCAGATATGAGATAAGTGCTATGGACTACGCTGAGTCGACATGTACCCGGTGCGGGATGCCTTGCGGTCGCCCGTGGCAGGACAAGGTGTGCTAATGATGCACCGTGTCGACAGGTTGATGAGGGGCGGATGTGGGGGTCAGGGGGGGG